GGTGCGGAGGTGGGGGCGGGGGGCCAGATTGTTATTGGCGGATGTAATAATATTGGTTGTTTATAAATGTCGTATTAAAGTGTATGTATTGAATTTAAGGAAAGTTTTTATTTCCCAATCTACGAGGCTTGTCAGCATCTTAAATTATTTCAATTTCTAAGGGGATATTATGTGGGTGGACTTAACTCTCGCATTCCAATCAACTGTTGACCTTCCATTTTTTTGTTTGGGTCCCACGTCTTCTTTTCATCTCCCTGTGGGAGTTATTTCGTAGACTTTCGGGCTAAGCGGATATATGAGCCTTGCATACACCCACATATGAGAAAATAGTTAGTTAAATGTCTCCTGACAAGGAAAAATAATAATAAAATATATACAAATTGTAAATACATGGAGTGTAAGAAAACTTATAGGTAGCTAAAATCTCTCTAAGTTATACCATCACTGGGGTGTGCAATGGACTTACCTCTAAGTGGTGCACCCTGGGAAAAGTATACTCATACGGAAAAAGTCTATTAACAGGATGTTGGCTTCTCACTTCAAACTACCATCACCCCACTGTGTGTCATGTTGGGCTACTTCCACAGTACTCACCTCACCTTTTCTCTACCTTTGTGTCTGTCTATCTCTTTCACATCTGTGGATCTCTCTTCTGTTCCCTCTCTCGACCCTTTTATCACGTTGATGTTCCTCCTCCTCTCTGTGAAGCCCGAAGTCAGCTATTGATGTTCCTCCTCTCTGTGAAGCCCGAAGTCAGCTAAAGGGCTAAAATGCTCCTCCTCTCTGTGAAGCCCGAAGTCAGCTAAAGGGCTAATGATAGCTGTCAAACCGCTTGTCATTTGAAATAAATAAATATGTGCCATTATTAAGATATGCATCTTATCGTGATGACATAATGCAACGACTTTATTGGACTAAATTCAGAATTCTAATAAATGCATTGAAAGTGAAAAGAACAAGGAGGCCAAATGCAGTCTCTACAAAAACGAAATAGTATTTGGCAAATTGTATATGACCAATGCGAAAATTGTTATTGAGCATCAAATATCCCTTTACTGATATCACTGCAAGTATAATAAGTCACTTACATTGGTCAGAGAAGGTACATCAACTAGAATGAATCACTGAAGAGCGTATTCTAACGAAGTTAACAAATGCACAAACCGCTATTGGTTACCGATTCATCTACTTTTCCTTCCAGGCTACAGCACTGGCTTTCAAGCACTCTATCACCTCAAATAATTTCATTTAAAACATTTTATCTCTATCTGTTATACTCAGCAAGCATGTGGGTACTTCAAAACAGGAACTCAAATAAGGAATATTTAACACATTGCTTCACAATAGATGTCCTTTTACCTTCAGAGAGTCTATTGAATCGTTTTAATTGAACATATTTATTGAGTAATTTTTGCTTTGTTATTGATTTTTACACATTTTTTGCCTTTTTAAATGTTGATAAAGTACAAAATAAACTTTTCTTTCCAACTGGTAAGCTTTTATACTTATATGACGAATTACTTATTTTTAAAAAATACTCCATTGATGGCAACTGATCAAGTTGACAAATCCTTTCTTTAAAATTCTGCAGTTGCCATTATCTTGGAATGACCTGAGCTTTCAAACGCCATTAAAGTAGAGGCAACCCAAATCCAAAATTACTGACTATAAAAAGGTAACTGAAATATATGCTGAAATAGTATTTCAACAAATTTTGGTTTTGAATGGTGGAAAAAAGTTGAGAAAGCCGCAATTACGCCCCTGGAATATGCAAAAAGGTGTCAATTGCGTTTGCCGAACTTAACATTGGAACTACTGCCAAAACGAAAATGGAAGAAGTTTTGGTGATGTATCCTGTCAAATGTCACCTCGTAAGTATTTTATTTTTAAGAATGAAGACATTTTGTGATAGCTTTAATGTTATTTGAGATGCCATTTAGTCACCAATTATTTGATAAATGATGCCGAGGATGGGTTGACCATTTGCTGTCGTTGAGAGCATCTACAATTGCAAGAAGAAGGAAGAATAGCTTCCGATAATTAATTATAATTTTAAAAAACAATGACTATAATATTATAAATCAAAGAAAGCCTGTCTTGGTGAATGCATATGAAATATCCAAACTTACATTTGAATAGTCTACGTGATGGAACAAACTTTACCAACTGAAGAGGGTACTGTCTACTACTCGAGTACTGTTGGCATGGCAATCCTCTTGATAGATAAGGTAAACATGTAAAGTAGTCGGTTACACTATTTTTTGCACTGATGGTGCATACATTTATATACTTATTTCTACTTCTGGGCTTCCAAGAGTGAGTGATAGATTTACCTCCACGTGGTGCATCCTGGGCAATGTATACTCATGCGTCAAACAAAGTCTATAAACTGACAGTTGACTTCTGACTTCAAACTACCACGGTTCCACTGTATGCCATGTTCCACCACTTCCACAGTACTCGCCTTATCCTACTGTCGACCTTTGTTTCTGTGTCTTTTACATCTGTGAATCACTCTTCTGTGGAGCCCGAAGTCAACTAAAGGGGCAATGATAACTAACATAATATTTGCCATTTGATATTAGAAAAAAACTTCAAGGGTTCCCTTTAAATGAAAGACAGTTTTTCATGGGTAAATCTTCAGAACGGCAATAGAACAATTATATGGATGGAAAACAAGCATCAAAGAGCAGAATAGGCAGCTGGAAAGGCCTGTAGAACTTTCCTTCCGCATGGGAGTATCTTTCCACAATCCCAAATCATTACTCTATGCAACCTGCAGCTAATCGAAACTATTAACATTGCCCCGGAGAAATTTTTTGATTAGGAAAAGTAAACAAGCATATTGCGCAATAGCACAGAGTTGAATGCACAAATGAAAATTCCAAGTAGATGGCAGTACGTGACACTTGAAATTGGTTGTGCAGTAGATTTGATGGTTCTCCACGCAAAGGAATGGGAATACCGGCCAAGTAATGGCCAGTATTGACGCACAATGATCAGGGTTGCATGAAAGTAGATTAAAAGGGAATGAAAAATTGCTTCAACATGGAGAATAAAAAGCCAATCGCATGAGTGGTCACAATGCCCAATCTGCGCATATACTCGTCATAAATGCCTCATTGTGATTTTCCATTTTAATATCGAAAATGTGTGAATATGTCATGCTTTGAAATATAAAACTAATTAAATAGATAAAAGGTAGATCACCTGATTTTACACTGCATTAGTCTATACTTGGCATGATGAAACATAGCAATAACTTAAAACAAGGAAAAAATATTCAATTCACAACATTACTACAGACAAAAATTGCACTTTTCGCAAACAGATGTTTGAGTTCAGTTTGGGTGTTGAAGCGGGGTGGAGAGAATAAAACTGGGAAAATTCATTTCTTTTTTTGACAAACTATTCAGTATTATTCATGAGCAATAACTTTTCTTTTGTTTTTAAAGGAGAAACAATTCCAGGTTATAAGTCAGACGGGTATTACATGTTACTTTCATTTCATCAGGGCTTAAAGGCCTGCGAGGCTACTAAAGGTATTGCTTAAATCTATAGAGAATCGCTTAAAAGCTTTTGGCCATGTTACGTGATTAAATCGAAGGAAGCACTTTGAACCTCAGTTTTTGTCAACAACAATTGGAAGGACTAAACCAGAAATTGACGGTTAGAAGTGGTCGTCTATTTAACAGAAAAGTTATAATTAGTTTGATAAAACACGCCGAATGACCTCCCAGAAAGCTCATTAATTAAATTAGAAGGTTCAGACACATTCAGCATATTCATCGAACTTTTTCCATCTTCACAGGTTTCATGGAATGTGCTCTAAAAGAAAATCGATTTTAAAGTGCGACCGAAGGGGAACGAGTATTTTATTTAAAAATAGAAAAAAAACATAAGAGGAATGGAAAATATTTTCCAATAGTGACTTAAATTGTTTAATATTTAAACACGGGAGTAATTAAAAAAACAAACAAACAAATTTCTCATGACTATGGTAATTTTCCACAACGTAAAACTGATTTAACCAGATCACTTTCCAACTAGTTTCATTCTCAATAATAGTTAACTATGTATATTAGAAACTATTTGCACAGATTTGCACAGACTTACCTCCACGTGGTGCACTCTGGGCAAAAGTCTATTAACTGGCTGTTGGCTTCTGACTTCAAACTACCATGCCCCCACTCTATGTCATACTCCACCACTTCCACAGTACTCACCTTACCCTACTCTCGACCTTTGTGTCTGTCTGCCTCTTTTACATCTTTGAAACACTCTTCTGCCCCCCCCTCTCGACTTTTTTTCACTCTGATGTTCCTCCTCCTCTCTGTGAAGCCTAAAGTCAACAAAAGGACTATTGATAACCATCAAAACGCCTGCCATTTGATTTAAATATATGTATACCTGCTTAATTAACAAATTATTCAGCGCATTAGTGAGGGAATTCTCTGGGTGCATTCCGTTGATACGCAATAAAAGTTTAGTCATGAACCTGCATAGTTGGGCATTCTCAAATGCTATAACGGTTCCTTTTCCTTCCAGATAATTTGATTCCACCTAAAAGTATTATAACAAAGAACTCCATAAGGCAACATTTAGT